CCAGATATAGTGAATGCAGGGTCCAGGGAGACCAGATATAGTGAATGCAGGGTCCTGGGAGACCAGATATACTGAATGCGGGGTCCGGAGAGACCCGATATAGTGAATGCAGGGTCCTGGGAGACCAGATATATTGAATGCAGGGTCTGGGGAGACCAGATATAGTGAATGCAGGGTCCGGGGAGACCAGATATAGTGAATGCAGGGTACGGGGAGACCAGATATAGTGAATGCAGGGTCCTGGGAGACCAGATATAGTGAATGCAGGGTCTGGGGAGACCAGATATAGTGAATGTAGGGTCCTGGGAGACCGGATATAGTGAATGCAGGGTCTGGGGAGACCAGATATAGTGAATGCGGGGTCTGGGGAGACCAGATATAGTGAATGCAGGGTCCGGGGAGACCAGATATAGTGAATGCGGGGCCTGGGGAGACCAGATATAGTGAATGTAAGGTCTGGGGTTTAGTAACGATTTAATGAGAGTTCCCCTAACTTTAAGCCCCACTGGCAGTGGTCACTGGGATACAAAAACAAAGAAAGTCTCTGGAACAGAGTCACAAACAGCAATAAAAAGACCTTTGTTATGACAGCAGGAAAGGGTTAGGACCTCTGCAAAGTTTTGTAGATGACTGTATTGTTATTAAAGGAGAAGTAGGACCAAAGCTCCTTGGCTATACTCATCTTTTTGGTTACAGGAGTGCACTCTGTTCTGCGCTCCTGTGACCCATATTCAGCCAACACTGTGCTACAGTCCTCTGTCAGCTGACGTTACTCAATTGGTCCAGGCTCTGGAGGGATCCCGACTTTAATGTCAGGATCCACCAAGATGCCTGACCAGTAGCTGGTTTAGCCTCTCAGCATGCCATGCCACTTCCACCCCCCCACCCACAGGCCGATGCTCCAATGAGCACTGGGGCGGAAGAGCAGAAAGCCGGTGACTTAGGCTACGTTCACACTAGCCTTGTGTGCAGGCGGCAGAGAGGCGTTTGGGAAGCGTTTTTACCGCTTCCCAAACGCCTCTGCCAACTCTGCACATTACAGCACATGGTGCTGTTCTAACAGGAGCGTTTGCGTCGCGTCGCGTTGCGTCACGGCAAAACGGACGCCTCTGGTCGTGTCAGGAGGCTTTGAAGCCTCCTATTCTCGTCTATGGTGCCGCTCCGCAAACGCCCGGCCGGCGTTTGCGGTGCGGTTGCGACGCGGTTGCGGGGCGTTTGCGGAGCGGTAACACCACTCAAATTCATTATAGGTGTTTGTGGGGCGTTATTAACGCTCGGCAAACGCCTACCAACCGCCGCTAAACCGCGCATCCGGCATTTGCGGAGCGTTTGCCGAGCGTTAAAAACGCTCCGCAAACACCGGACCAACGCTTGCCAAACGCTATAGGGGCGTTTGGCAAGCGTTGGCAAAACAGCCAAGTGTGAACGAGCCCTAAGAGTCATCAGCTCTCTGCACACTGAACCCCGAGAACTGAGCTATCAGTGATCTGACTACTGAGTTCTCAGTCTAAGAGGTGGGTGGGGGACAGATGCTGCATCCATCCAGGTGAGTGTGTGTGTTTATTATTTTTTTTACATTTCCATACTTCTCTGTTAAAGAGTTTGCTTTTCCCCAAAAAATGGATCAGCACATCCTCCAAATAATTTGTCTCTCTAATGCAGTGGTCTCCAAACTATGGCCCTCCAGGTGTTGAAGAACTGCAAGTCCCAAGAAACCTTGCAAGTCTGTGACAGCCACAGGCAAGGCTCCCAGAGGCAGAGGCATGATGGGACTTGTAGTACTTCAACAGCTGGAGGGCCATAGTCTGGAGAGCCCTGCTCTAATGTTTCTAGACATTTTTTAAAAACAGCATGGAGCAGGCATAATATTTTATTTTTTCAGACAGAGCGATTTATCACTAGATATAAGAAGTAGCTTGTTGACCAAAGAAGTCTCTGGTCAAAAGGCAAGATTTATACCCCCTGTTGCTTTCAGCAGGCATGGCGCTAAGTGAATGCAACCCATGAGGCCACTCTGCCAGTGCCCAATGTATGCGGTTGTGGCATGCTAGCGTGGGGATCAAGGGGATATAGAAGATGATGAAGAGGCAGTGCAGTTCCTCCTCAATGCCTGAAAATGCTCTCTGAACAGCGATCTGAAAGTGTAGTTTCGGGAGCTGAGTGTAATCTGAGATCTGAGTGGCAGAAATGGACAACCTCTCTCTACACAGTCTCACAGGAAAACATGCCTAGCTGAAGCTGTCAATCACAGCCTGTGTGCTGAAGCTCATTCCCATTTCCCTGGATCCCTTGGAGTCAGCAAACCAGTCAGAGGTGACTCATGCAGATAACAGAGGAAGGAAACATCCAACAGAAATCACACCAAGTGCTTTGGATTTAGGCAAGTGCACACTGTACAATGATATGCTTTGTTCATTTCAGAGGTTTATAACCACTTTAAATTTTTGTTTTTGGGCATTTGTCATTTATTTTTATTTATTTACTTTTAATACTCTATATTAAAAAAAAAAGCATTTTTTAAAGCTACAGTGCCTGTTATCTTTATCTTTTAGCCCCTGTGCAGAACATTTCCCAGAATTCCACATTCCAATCTGAAAGCGGATTTGTTTCGTAACATTCCGAATAGGAAAGTCAGAGGTGACAAACCATTCATCATGAAATGATGTGGTATTTCCAGCCCCCGGTGCTGCAGCTGGCTGGAACACAAAGGTATTATTTGAAAGGGGAGGACAATTCAGCTCCTACATGGAGGGAAGCAGACAAGGTGGTAATGTGCTTAATGTCGGTGATGTCATCCTGGCCTAACCTCCTCAGTCACAAGGCACAAATATAGCTGATAAGACGTGACCATTCTGAATGTTAATGAATGGATTCACTGTTACTGCGAGTCCAAATTATGATTTATATCAGCAGTGGAGCTTGCTGTTTTTTATTGCTGTGTCTTATTGTTAACAAGGCTCGCTTGTTCTTATTGCACCTCAAGGCACAATGGTTTTCTGGGAAGCTTAAATAAGATCTATTCTAAAACTGCAAGACGAAATTCCAAGATTTCTCTCTAAGACTGGTCCGCCAAATTAGGCCTTGTGAGGAACTGAAGGGCGCCTTGTCTGACAAATTCCTCTTTTTTTTTTCCTATACTGTATCTCGAAATAGATAAGATAAACTCTCAGGATCAAAACAAGTTATGAAACATAATTAGATCATAATTATACTCACAGATTAGCCGTTTAATGTGAAAGTGAATTATTTTGTTTGTGCTTTAAGAATTTAGGCTCTTATCCCACCGAGGAATGACCACTTACCGGCTATAGATACATTTGTAGAGACTAATTTTAAATAATATCTGGCTTTGAAGGTTTTAAATGAGATCTTCATCCAATCACATGTCTGTAAATGAAGCCACGTGATCACTACAGACATAGCGCCCGATTTCTAGAGTATGAAGTGCAGCAAATGCAGCTAATAATGTCAAGGAAAAACTCTATTGTCTTCAATTTGCTTTGAGGTGATTGGATGTTTGAAGTATAAACAAGCTTAATTCACCCCATTTTAGCTCTATAACAGATCTGGCCAAGGATCACCACTTCACACTTTCATAAACAAAGCTTACTGAATAGTGTCAGATTGAATTGATAGTGTCAGATTGTATTGATAGAATTGATTGTCTTCAATTTCCTTTGAGGTGATTGGATGTTTAAAGTATAAACGAGCTTAGTTCATCCCATTTTAGCTCTATAACAGATCTGGCCAAGGATCACCACTTCACACTTTTATAAACAAAGCTTACTGAATAGTTGCAGATTGAATTGATAGTGTCAGATTGTACTGATAGAATTGATTGTCTTCAATTTCCTTTGAGGTGATTGGATGTTTAAAGTAAACAAGCTTAGTTCACCCCATTTTAGCTCTATAACAGATCTGGCCAAGGATCACCACTTCACACTTTCATAAACAAAGCTTACTGAATAGTGTCAGATTGAATTGATAGTGTCAGATTGTATTGATAGAATTGATTGTCTTCAATTTCCTTTGAGGTGATTGGATGTTTAAAGTATAAACGAGCTTAGTTCATCCCCATTTTAGCTCTATAACAGATCTGGCCAAGGATCACCACTTCACACTTTTATAAACAAAGCCTACTGAATAGTGTCAAATTCGGGTGTTGTTGGCCCTCAAAGGTCTGAAGAGTCAGACTGAAAAAGCAGATTGGAGACTCAGAGAGGCTTAAGGTATCCACCGGTAAAAGGAGGGCAGTGGTTGTCGAGCCCCTATAGTGTACTATGTATCTAGAACCAAGTTATTATCTCAAATAATTTTAGGATTAGAGAGAAAAGAAAACAAGACTTACATCTGGTGTGGTTGTGGTGGCCGAGAAGGGTAGAAACAAGCAACCTTCAATAACTGCAGGTGAGAAAAAGGCCCCATCTTCATATGGGTTGAGAACAGTTGCTCTCGATGCTGTGGGGGTCCCAATCCTGGATCCTCTTATGGATTCTCAGATGAGTATTTTACTGGCAGGATAAAAGGGGGTCAAAAACCCATTGGTGAACTGAATAGTGGATGCACTAGGTATAACCACTTGCCCTCCTGAGGATTTACCCCCCCCCCCTTCCTGACCAGGCCATTTTTTGTGTTATGGCGCTGCATTAATTTTACTGCCAGTTGCGTGGTCATGCAACGCTGCACCCAAATGACCTTTATGTCCTTTTTTCCCCACGAATAGAGCTTTATGTTAGTGGTATTTGATTGCCTATGAGTTTTTTATTTTTTGCGCTATAAAAAAAAAAGACCAACAATTTTGAGAAAAAAACAATATTTTTACTTTTTGCCATTAAACCTGTCCAGAAAAAAAATTAAAAAATCTCATTTCCTCATAAATTTTAGGCCAAAATTTATTCTTCTACATGTCTGTGCTAAAAAAAAAACCCAATACATTTAATTAATTGGTTTACGTGAAAGTTATAGCATTTACAAATGGGGGTATATATACTGGAATTTTTTTAATTTTTACTAGTAATGGCGGTGATCAGCGACTTATAGCGGTGGGAATTCTGACACTGGGTGGAACTGATTTGGTGTCACTGACATCCCCAGTGACACCAATACAGTGCTCAGTGCTAATAAAAAGCACTGACACTGTACTAATGGCACTAGGCAGGAAGGGGTTAAACATGAGGGCGATCAAAGGGTTAACTGTGTGCTGTGTTTGTGTGCTTCACTGTAAGCACACTGCTTTGGATGGCTGTGCTGTGTGCATGAGCTGACAGGAAAGAGAAATGTTTTGTTTACAAACAGTTCTCCTAATGTCAGAGATGCTCCGCAATCACCGGCCAGGACCCGGTGATTGACAGCCACGGCTGCGAATGGCGGCGCGGGTGGGGCGCACGCATGCCCCTTACCCGGTTATGGAAAATCACATATATATATGATTATACATGATTTTGCGCACCTGTGCCACCCTGTAGCAGTATTTCTGCTATAGGGCGGTCGGGAAGCAGTTAAAGGAGATTTAAAAAAAAACAAACATATAGTATATACAGTACTCAGATCAATGCTGCAGCTGCCCCCCACAGGCTCTAAGACCAAGAAATTGGTGAACACATGACTGCTGATCGCACGGCTCTTGGTCTTTAATGAGCAGAGAGCGGTCACTGTCAGTCTTTGGTCTCTGCTCTGCCCCTCCAGTGGGCGTGATTGGCTCAAGATCTCAGAGGCATGTTGAGAGGCTGAGCCAGCTGCAGATTAGATATCTAGGTGAATCTCGACATGGATGAATCCCAATCTTTAGTCCAAACAGCTCAGTCATTGTTCTGGGAATGAGTGCACTCTCAACACATAAACACACTCTCAACACATAGTGGACGCTGTTCCCATTCTCCGCTGGGTGAAGTGATTACTATCCTGTGCTTCCTGGCTTGGAGCGGCACCATATGTCTCCTACTGGTGATCTGGCCAGTTACACACCCCTGTATTTGAATGCCTCCACTCTGGATGAAGGAGCACAGGGGGCACCTTTGGACAGCAGCATTGTCAGTCTGGGGGGAGGGGAGTATTAGATGTACTAGCAGATTTAGATACACTAACAAACTGAAGGCAAACTCCAGCTCACACCTTATAAGCTGTTACATAAGCAGTTAAAGCCAGGGCCAACTGACAACTCATGGGGTCCCCGGGCAATAGGGGATCATGGGGCCCCAGTGTCCTTGCCCAAACTCAAAAAAGCCTATGAAAAAGGTACCAAGGGCATCTCATGGGGCCCCCTAATGACCCCGGGCCCTCGGGCAGTGGCCGAGTTTCCAAATGGTCAGTCTGCCCCTGGTTAAAGCAACAATATCCTTTTGGGATTAAGGTGTTTACATAAATCAAAGCTGATCATTGTAAACACCCCTGTCAATAGTAAAAGGTTTGTCTCAACACTCTTAACTGATGCATTTGCAGAAGAGCTTGTTGTGTCAAAAAACAACAGACTTACTGGCCAGATCACCAGATTAATATAAATGAAAGAAACCTAAATAAAAAAAACTATTGCAGCCACCACATCTAAGAATTCGTAGGCTGCAATATAATAAATATTTGATTTTGGGTTTATTACCACTTTAATATCTGTCTTTTATATTTGCCTGGAATTCACCTTTATTAATAGAACTCAAATGGAGACACACATTTACAAGTTTTTTGAATGCGCTCAAAATAGAAACTGTTTTTCTCTTTTTTTTTTGCTGACAACATTTTTTTTTCAGCTGTAAGTGAAAGAAACAGGTTCTCTTTAACGTAGTCATGAGAGATTGTAGAACAGCTTGCCCAGTAGGAAAGGCCCAGGTGTCTTTTCTCTAGCTGAGTCTTTGATTGTAAGTCAGACATGTACATCCGTGACCAAGCTGGTGAGCCAGCTCTCTCGGTTTTACCGTTTGACACCTGCGTTACGGGTGCAGCGCACAGCTATAGGGCCGGTCCAAGTGTGTTGGGTTTTTTCTATCCCGCGCTGTGCCAGATGCTCCACTAGACTGCGTTCCTGGCATCCCTCTAGCCCACACTATCTGATCTCACACACAGGAGAGACTCAGAGGCAGCAAGATCAATAGAGCAGTAAGGCAGAATCGCTGGCAGGGCACCCTCCCATATGTCCATTATTTCAGGAGACTGTTCTATTTTGTTTTACACCTGATGTCCGATGTCACAGAAAAGAGGAAGATCAAATAGCATGGCCTCATACAGTTTCCAGCAAGTATGCCCCTCACCGATTTTACATCTAACATTCAAAACCTGCTTAATTGCACTTTTGTTCATATAAACTGAAAGACATTTAAAAGAAATCCACTTTTTTTTTCAGACACAAAAATGTCATCGGCTTAATGTTGGCTATTTTATCAGCAAATGCTGGTGTAGGCAAACAACTTAGTATACAGTACATTTGAAATATTTTAGTGGCAAATATCTACTCATCAATGGATTTGTATATTTATATTTCCAGTCCTGAGATTTACATAGTCCTGCCAACCATCTGACCTCACTTTTGCTCTATTGCAAATAACTAATACAACTGGGTCACCTCCCAGCCTGTGATTGGACAATAGCAGACTGATAAAGTCATCACTCTTTTACTGTCAGCATTCTTTATCTCTCTGAATATATATACAGTATATATATATATATATATATATATTATTTAGAGCTCAGCTTCCAAAGGGCCCACTGTTTTGCCCCAGGTCCTTTTCCCAAGCTAGTGTAGCAGAAGCCAGGCACGGTAACAGTCACTCTTATGGCTCAATGAACAGTCTTGGGGTATCCTTTGATGCTTTATTATATGTTGAACTTGGACAGGGTGCAGGGAAGCTTGTGGGATACTCCAGTACAGGGACGGACTGACCATTTATAAACTCGGGTTTAGTAGGGGGCCCCATGAGATACCCCTAGTGCCTTTTTCATAGGCTTTTTTGAGTTTGGGCAAGGACACAGGGGCCCCATGATCCTCTATTGCTTGGGGGCCCCATGAGTTGTCAGTCCACCCCTGCTCCACTAGCACAATATAGAGCATGATGGCACTTATAACTCTCATAAAACTTCTTAGTACAGTCCTTCCAACAGCAACTAAGGAACTGAGCAACACTGAGACTCCATAGAAGCAGCCCAGTTTGAGCAGGCTCTGGCACTGATGCACAAGGGATGGTAGCAGCACACAGTCATTAGGAACTTACACACGGGACTCTACTCACAGTGTCCCTAGATACTTGTATGCCTCCTTCCATTACCAGCAAGACATTTTTCTCATGAACTTCAGACCATATCTTCAGTGAAATCCCTTAATCAGTTCCAGCAGGGTTCGGTAGAATAGGCCCCCAGCTCTAGACCTCGATAAGCACTTCTGGACAAGAACAGGGCTACCCCATGCTCCAGACTATTGATGTACTCTCCAGCCATCTACTGGGCATCCCCCTAAGGGATTGGCTGACACCAAATAAATGTTCAAGCTGTGGATCTGCCTCTTCTAGCCTACTAAATTCTAGAATACACCAGAAGGCAGGGGGAAACAGTTGAGCCTGCAGTCAGTGAAGCCTAGAAAAGCCCCAAAGCAATCATAAGCTGGTCCACTGATTACAGGGGAGCCAAAAAGAACTAAATTTGCCTAACCTTTCTAGCAACCTATCTAGGAGGGTGCTCCATCTCTTTATATACTGTATGTATGTATATATATTTTTTTTCAGCTTTTTCCTACGATGACACATCTATACATTTCAGAGGGAGTAGCACAGCAGGACATGCATGTCTACAACCTACAAGACAATTGCTACTCCAGTATACTTCTTCCAGCTTCACACACCGTGAGAATGTATAGGGTGCTTAGGTAGTTGGCAGATTGTACACCACAGATACAAATTAATATACAAACTATCACCAGTACACCATTTTAACAAAATGAACAACGGGAAATGCATTCATCACCAAAGAGTGTGACCTTAGTCCTAATGACCCTGAAACTGTAAAGTACTAGGCCAGGGGTGTTGAACCTGTGGCCCATGGTCCACATGTGGCCCAAAACAGTAATGAATGGGGCCCAACACACAATGGTATACTTACCTAAAAATGTTGATTTTTTAAAAAACATTTTGTAAAAATGCATTTGCACTTAGCGAACACATGCAGCTGGAGAAAAATGTGTCTCTTTAGTAATAAGTTTTATCTTCCCAATGAAAAAGCTCCCAGTCTTCACAATCACGCCTTATTCATGTCATCAGTTTTCGGCAGCACCTATATTTGTGAGCAATTATTTTCAAGGATGAAGCACACAAAGGGCAAAATTAGAACCAAAATATCTGATGAGCACCTTGGGAATTCATTGAGAGTTGCTACATCCTTCCAACCAGGTATTATTGCGTTAGTTTATCGCCCTAGTTTTATGTTGCCCCTCTTTTCTTTTATTAAAAAAAAAATTACAAAAAATGTAATTTTATTACTCAGATAGGTATATTATCTATATCAGAGATCATTAACTTGTGATCTGCCCGACTTTTTCTGCTCATCAGCTATCCATATTGTTAGTGTATTTTATGTGCGGCCCAAGACAATTCTTCTTCTTCCAATGTGGCCCAGGAAAGTCAAAAGGTGGCTACCCCTGTACTAGGCAATGAATAAATATTCCACTAGTCATTTTGCTAAAATGTTTTGAAGGTTATATTCCATATATTGGATTGTATGTGTGACGGTGCCATTCACAATTTCACCCAGGCACTCTCCTGTATCTTTTTAGGGTCTGTGAAGCTAAAAGTAGTGTCTTGAATTTTATGATATTCTCTGCTACTACAACTCCTAAGAACATAATGAACAGAAGGAGGAAACTCTCCACACACCAATGTCGTCACACAGCCTCTGATTTATTTGATGGCAACAATCACTATGGCAAGGACTTCCTTTCTTATGCATTTCACCCAAAAGGGCTTACTTGTAGAGATGGGTGCGGAGAGTTTTCTCTTTCTGTTATATTGGTGTCCTTTTATCATGCAGTGGTAAATGCAGTGGTAAGTTCTCCGGCATTCTCGGAGAAGACAGTTCTCCTCTGAATGCCTTTTTATGAAGCGGTGTAGATCAGTTCTCCGAATGAAGGGAGAAGTGATCTACAAACGCTGGAAAATGGCTGATTTTACTATAATCTCATGAGATTACAGTAAGACATCAGTCAAACACCGTTTACTAAGTAGCGGTAAATTATCACTGCTTAGTTTGCGGTTCCAATAAATAAATAATTTGCGCTAGTAAATGTGTATAAAAAGAAATCATCAAATCATAAGTCCAGAAAAAAATATATATATGCCAATACCACAAAAAAAAAAAAAAAAAAAAAAAACTTTTAAGTGCA